TTTTTTTTTTTTTTTTTTTTTGCATATATTTGTGAGTGTTCCGACCAGCTTGCATACACCTCAACTAATCTCGCGGGACATCCTGCTAACCTTTCAACATTAGGGTGCCAAAACAACCTGTAGGATATTAAATGCTAGAAAGGTGGCCACCACGGATTGAACTTATTTCCTCTAAGCCCTCTATTATACAATCACAAGCTAGTTTGCATAGGAGGTATGTGAAGTAAACTTATGACAATCTAATTTGCAGATACTCAAATGTAAATCCAAAGCACTCATCAATCAAATTTTTTCATCCTTAACCAAATTGAAGTTAAAAACAAGATGGTTTCAGTTCCACTCTCATAATCAACAACTTAAAAAGAGCTCGCTTCATTAAAATCTCCGCAAAAAAAGAAAAACAACACGCACGCACGCCAGGTAACAATTAGCAATATACAAGCACAACACTGCATCAACTTTACGCATTACGCATATCACTCAAAAAGTTCGAAATTGGATATTCCGAAAAGAAAACAACCAATTCATACAATAGGCTAGGCGTCACAAGATAAGCGATGGAAGTGAGCTGAAATCGAGCAAGAAATTATATCGCATTTCAATATAGCTAGTAGAACGAACCGCGATGATTAGCCAGAGATCCAACGGAGCTTGCTCGGCCTTGAGTATGTCGAGAATGTCGGAAGCGTCCCTAGGGAGTTGATCGAGAACTACCCTGACCTCCTCCTCCGAGTTCTGCACCGGTATGTACACACAAGCCATGCTTTTCCCTGGAAGCGCCAAAGCAGGGCAAGCGGAGGAGGGGAAGAATACCCAACAATTGTTCGCCGGAAAAAGTCGAGTCTCTGTTTCGAACTCTGTTCTCTTCACTGAAATTTGATTCACAGGGCACGTCGGTATTTTGGTGTTTTTTTTTTTTTTTTTTTGTTATTAATATTCCGAAAAATAGGCAAAATAAAAATAAATAAAAAAAATCCTCAAAAATGAAATAAATGCTTTCATGTAAATAAATATATATATATATATTTTACTCCCATTATACTACTTAATTTTATATTTAATTATCTTATCTTTATTAACTAAAATTATTAAAATAATTAAACTAGTTTAATTTTTTTTAATTGGTAAGTATATTAGGAATAATGTACTTCAAATTTTAGATTTTTAAATTTATTTACCATCCTCCTTTATGTACGCCTAAATTTTGGTAAAAATAAGCTCATTTATTCCATCAATTAAATTATTATTAATTTATTGCAATTGAATAAATAATTATGTTAATTTAATATTTATTAACAATTAATTTTTATTTTTACAAATGTTAACAATTTTATTAAAAAAATAATTAACATTTGCATTTATTTTCTATAATTAATTCAAAGAATTTATATAAATTAAATGGGTTTAATTATTTTTTTTTTATTAAAAGTTTTAACTATAATAATTTATAAAAATAAATAAAAACTAAATACACTCACAATTTTACTATATTATTTAATTGAATAAATTTAACTTCTTTATTATTATGTAATTAATTAATATTTTTTACAAAAGAAATAAATGATTTTAGCAAATACAACATATTTATTTGTCTGATTTTTAATAATAGAATAATTTAATTTAAAATTTCAATTCCACCCACTCATTAATTCACTTTTTTTTTTCACTCTTCCAAGGTTCTACCAGGTAAAAACGCTCTTTAATGAAACTTTAACTTTAGCTAGTCGTGATTATGAAACCACTTGTTTCGCTTGGTGGACCAGGAATGCCCGACTTATCAATTTATCCAATAAACTACTCGAGGCTCATGTAGCCCATGTATTAATTGTATTCTCGAAATAATAAACCTATTTCAAAGTGGCTCATTTGTACTTAAGAATCAAGAAACCATAATGCCTAATTTTTAGACTTACTTGTAACAACCCAGATCCACCACTAACGTAATCAAGAATTATGCCCAATTTTTAGACTTCTTGTAACAACTCAGATCCACTATAGATATTGTCTCCAATTTTTAGACTTCAGATATTGTCTCCAATTTTTAGACTTTAACAACCCAGATCCACCACTAACAGATAGTCTTCGGCTTTCCCTCAAGGTGTCTCCAATTTTTGGACTTCAGATATTGTCTCCAATTTTTAGACTTTAACAACCCAGATCCACCCCTAACAGATATTGTCTTCTGGCATTCCCTCAAGGTGTCTCCAATTTTTAGACTTCTTGTAACAACCCATCCACCACTAACAGATATTGTCTTCTGGCTTTCCCTCAAGGCTTTAATACACGTCCGGAAGTTTCCACACCCTTGTAAATGAACCAGATCCTTGTCCTCTTTGGGCTTAGTCGGGAAGGCTTCCACACCCTTGTAAATAGCCTAAATCCACCGTTAACAGATATTGTCTTTTTTGGGCTTTCCCTTTCGGGCTTCCCTTCAAGACTTTAAAATGCGTCTACTAGAGGAAGGTTTCCACACCCGGTGTTTGATTCCCCTCAAAACTTTAAAACGCCGGAAGGTTTCCACACGCATCTAATAGGGAAAGGTTTCCACACAGTTATAAATGGTGTTTTGTTCTCTTCCCCGACCAATAGGAGACATCACACTTCTCGGCAAAAAAAAAATTAATTTAAAAAAATGATTAAAATTTTCAGAACAAATGTTTTGATGGAGATTTTGTTACCCTTTAAAGTCTTATACTCATATATCAAACTTGGAGGGGTGAACCTAACAAGAGAACTACAGATTTAAGTGATAATCAACCTATACAATGAATGGTAGCTTATATAATTTACATTCAAATGAGAATATATCAAAAGAAAAAATGTAAGATCATAAAAGAAAATCACTCAACCTTGTAATTTGTGTATATATTTATACAATACAGATTCTTCTTTTAGTTCCTTTAGAACTGATGGGTTACCTCAAAAAACATGGAGGGTGTGCCTAATATTTGTACATTCAACAGCCCAATTGCAAGCAAAGCAATAATACGTCCACCACTCACCTTAACCTCGAATCTTCCTTAGGGAATATCACATTTGGGTTCCGTGCGTGTGGATTCAGTGCCGAGAAGGCCTTCCACATAGCCCCAGATGAGATGCTCCATAACGATTCTTTACCTTTGTCCCCCGCAGGCTGCTGCACCTTCTTTGGTTCTGGAGCAGCCAATGGCTTGGAAGCAGCAGCCTTTGTCTTCAGAGATGGATGGTTCTTGCTCTTTCCCATGCCATTGGCGATCAGCCAGCGTGAACCAGATTTTTGTTGGCTGGAGGTAGAGCTGCCCCATAGTTTCTTATTCGGCTCACTTTTGATACCTACTACGTGAACTTCTGTGATTCTGAACTGAGGAATGTCTTTCCCCTCTTGTTCTTCTTCCTTTTTCTCTACTCTTGTAACCGACTCGAGATTGTCCTCGTCGTAGTTGATTCGTATCTCCGAAACTGTGCTGTATATCTTTGGTTTTGGTGGGATGAACACTCTCTCCACTTGGATAAGAGAAAGCATTGGAGCACCAACTGGTTCGTAGTTTCTCGATGGATCCCGGAGTTGCACCATCAGTGCCACGGTGAAGTTGTTGCCTAGTAAACCACACTTTCTGCTCGAACTCTTTCCTCGCCTTCTGTCTCCTTTCGTGCCACCACGAATGAAGTCCAACGAATTTGCGTGATGAGCAGCGAGTATTTTAGAAGTATGTTCACTGATGATTTCTTCATCATCAAGTTCACCAGAATCCAGTCTCATCCATTCATCAAGAGAGAGAGAGAGACCCATTAATCCATCAACATCATCACCATTGTCTTTTATGTCCAACAACTGCAATCCAGCAGTTCCCTCCAGTCCAAGCGATCCACTAATGTCGATTCCCTTGCCACGGAGAGCTGAAAATTCTCCTATCGGTTGTGCACTGATGTTTGAAGGTGCCTCGTCCTCTGACATTCCTGACTGTATCCTCAGCCCTTCAAGTGAAAGAGCTTCAATCTTGTCCAAGGCTAGTGGAGCAACATCTTCTAAGGATACATATTCCGACTCTGACTCACCATGCATAGAGTTTGGACTGTACTTCTCGTGCCTAGAACGGGATGAACTACCCATGGAACCTTTTCTTCTACCATCTGAATCTTGCTCAAAAACTGGTTTGCTCTGCGGCATACATTGCCTGTTCCAATGCAGAGATAACATACAGCAAAAACAAGATAAGATAAGAAAGAATCTCCCGAAAGAGGGGGGGGGGGGGGGGGGGGG